ACCTTCAGACAAGTTTGCCATTTAAGAGGTGGTCTTGAGGATGATGCCCATTGGAAGCATTTAGAAGCAGCAGCAGCAGTTGTGCAGTCACTCAAAATGTTGCAAAATCACTTTTGTTGCTATGGTACTAGTGTTTGCTATTTCATATCCTTCTCTATGGGATGTGTAATAAGAAGCATCTCTCAGAAGATATTTTGAATCATGCCAGAAGTATAAAATCTGGATAAAGAAATGTCATGTAATGATGCAGTTTTTAATAGTGCACTTATAATGATAGGTCGAAGATTGCATCTTAGCCATTAGGTGGGTCTCCTTTGAAAACATTGGGTCTTCCTGAACCACAAAGGAATGATAATCATGCACTTGTCAAATCAATTTATAATGGATATTTTATATTGTCCTGAGCAGCTTGGAGAACTCATGTGACAAAAATGAGTCAAGCTTTAATATTGGACCAGAGGAACATTTTTGAAGAAATTTAACTGGTGCTGTTTTCAATAAGAAAGGAAAGGCAAATTTTTCATAGATCAAATGAGCAGGAACCTACTTCTGGCTACAGTTTGCTTAAAAAGGACGATTGTTCTTGCTGTTTCTTAGTTGGGTATTGCTGCAGTTCTTTCGACGGGAAGCACAACTGTTTGTTCAGTATTCAAACTACCATTAAATAGGTCAACTGCCGATCAATCAAATGTGCATTATTGGTAGAGGAAGAGCAAAAGCTGCAATGTTGCAAGAGTGTAGATTTGTAATATGGAACGAGTGTAGCATGTCTCAGAAGGCTACATTATAAGTTTTAGATTGCACATTGCAGGATTTGTGATGTCGTATTGGGTGGGGACTTCTGACAAACGCTTCTTGTTATTCCAAAGGAACTGAAGCTGGTGAGTTGTAGTTGTCAAAAAATGTAGGTACAACTTGTTAGTTCATGAATTTGCAGAAAATCTCTTGAAATTAGGTAAAAGGGCAGTAACACCTGACAGAGGATATACACCCATGGGAAACGTTGGGAATATTGTAGATAACTTTGAAAGATTTACATTTGGAAATACTGAGTTCTGTAACACAGTGTTGTATGAATCTAGGGTAGTTATGTCGAAGGGCCATTTTAGTTACCTAGAAGTATTTATTCCAAGAATTCCTATAATACCAACAGACTTTCCCTCTCCATTTAAGAGGCTTCAGGCTCCATTTAAGAGACTCCATTTAAGAGGCTTTAATTTCCATTGGACTACGTTTTGTGATGACCATCAATAAATGGTGAAAAAGAGTTGCCCCTGATGGGCAACTGCATGTGGGGTGCTCAAGAGTAGAGATGGGCATAAACTGGCTGATGAGCTAAAGTTCATCACGAATTTTGGCCGGTTCATGGTGTGTGAATTTTGATGCAGTTCATGGCTTTCTGCTCTTCACAAAAAACAACAACAACAACAACAAAAACCTGAGGGGCAGGGAACTCCTTGCCGCTCAGCTGTTTGGTTTAAATGGCTACGAGCCATTTAAACCACAGCTTTTCATGGGGAGCAGAAAGCAGAAGACCATTTAAACCACTGCTTTCTGCTCCCCGTGGCTTTTTGTGGGGAGCAGAAAGGAGGGGTTTAAACTGTAAATGGCTCACAAACTGATATGCACCAGGTCAGTTCGTAAACTAATCTCCTGGTTTATATAGGTGTGCAGTTTGGTTTGTGGTTCAGCCACTAACTGAACCATAAACATGTGGCTCGTGCCCATACATACTCAAGACTAGAATACTTAAGCATCTACCTACCTACCTACCTATCACTACTCATACGGCTATCACCTTAAGCAGAAAAATACTTAAGAAAAACTTTATTTTAGTTCGTGGTAGGATAATTATTGTAGTAGGAAATGACGCCTTACTATCATAAATAATCTACTCTTTAATTTCCATAATTATTTATTTGTTAATTTGGTGATTTAAGTATTAGTTGTGGTTCTTTACCATGTACACGTAGATGTAAAATAGTTGACTGTTTTAAAAATTAATGCGTCATTAGATAAATTGAATGGTTACATTACATCCCAAAATACATAAGATTTGTTTACATATCTTAATAAGGCCAGTTAAGTCCAGATGTTGCATGTTCTCAAAGTCAGATGTTTTAATTGATTTCTTTTACAGAATAATAATATATTTTTTTTGCCAAACAAAATGAGTTGAAAATTTTACAGGAGAGAAATATGGCCAAATGCTGCTTTCAGGGTTAGCCTGTGGAGACTGAGTCCCTAGAAAACATTGCAAGCACAGAGAGCAACCGGGTTGATGAGTGGAGTGAGTAGGGGTGGGCCCCCTAGTGTTTGGTAAAATAGCTTCATAGGGTATCTTGCAATTATGCAAATACTAAAGGAAAAGAAAACCCATTAGTCTTTCAAACTTTCTTTGGTTTACGAGGGAACTTTCTCAGTCTAAGTTTAGAAATAATTACACTGTGCTGAGTGGAAAATATGATTCGGCATGAAGCTCCTATTTATTTATTTCATTTTAAAAAATAGGATTTAGCACCCAGAAATTTTTACTGCAAAGTGAAAACTGTAGGCCAAATGCAAAGTTATTTTACTGGTACCATTGTTAAATGTGAAATATTAATAGGTTTCGGTCAGAGGAGGAAGTCAGCATGTAGCCTTCTGTCATTCGTTAAAATAATGAAATCTATAGAGATTAAGGAGACATACTTACATGGAGGCATTGCTTTAAAATAGGTGTGTTTTTGGTTCATTATGCTGTTTAAACATTGTGACTAAACCTGCTGTTTCTAATCAATTTGCAGGAGAGGGGGGCAGTTCTTTCCCTTTGCTTGATTCCTTGTATTTAAGTAAAGATCAGTGATGCTTCCTGTGACTTGCCAAATTAGCATTAGCCCCCAGGGGATTTGAGAAGCATTTTACATTTACATATACATTTTATTCATCTTTTGAGAATGTGCAACAGAGCAACTAACCTTCTACTGTGAATAAAATAGAAATTGTCAGCTGTTTGATGTATGGGGCAGCTGAAGATTTCATAGTAATCACCATGTGAAGGTACTTCTGTGCCATGTAACCGATTCCCACAATGCACTAACTACAGTAGGTTTCTGTATTCTCTTACTGTGTATGTTGTATGCAAATGTATCTTTCTGGATTTCCCCCTTCCTGCCCTAGTCCCCTGTGTTTCCGCAGACCTGCTCCTGAGAGTCAGGGGACCCTTGGAATTATATGGATGCAGTGCGGTATATGCATGGGTGGGAAGGGTTGCAGTAGGAAAGGGGGAATTAGAGTCACTCCTCCTTATGTAAGTGGAAGTGCCCTTCTGCTCTAGGGTGGCCAGCCTGAGCCGGCCATGGCTGGGAGGGCGGGGTATAAATATAATAAATAAATAAACCTCCAGGTGGTGGCTGAAAGTCTCATAAGAACATAAGAGAAGCCAATGTTGGATCAGGCCAATGGCCCATCCACTCCAACACTCTGTCACACAGTGGCCAAAAATACCAGGTGCCATCAGTAGGTCCAGCAGTGGGGCCAGGACACTAGAAGCCCTCCCACTGTTGCTCCCCCCCAGCATCAAGAATACAGAGCATCACTTGCCTCATCTCCTATCTATAGGAGTTGCTATCTATAGGTAAAGGTAAAGGTTTCCCTTGCTTGAAAGCCAGTCGAATCCGACTCTAGGGTTGCGGTGCTCATCTCCGTTTCCAAGCTGAAGAGCCAGAACTGTCTGAAGAAGTTTCCGTGGTCATGTGGCTGGCATGACTAAACACCAAGTCGCACGAAACGCTGTTACCTTCCCACCGAAGCAGTACCTGTTTATCTACTTGCCATTTCTTGCTTTCGAACTGCTAGGTTGGCAGGAGCTGGAACCAGAGGCGGGAGCTCACTCCGTCATGCGGCACTCGGGTCTCGAACTGCTGAACTACCGACCTTCCGGCTTGCAGTTCAGCATCTTAACCACTTGAGCCACCTATCTATACCTTGTGGCTAATAGCCACTGATGGACTTCTGCTCCATATGCTTATCTAATTCCCTCTTGACGCCATCCGTGCTTGTAGCCACCACCACTTCCTATGGCAGTGAATTCCTGAGATTACAACCCAATATCCAGGTATTTCCCATTCTGGTGCTGGCAACACTATTTGGCTCACAGAAAGGAGAGTTCAGTGCAACCCACATTTTAGAGACAACCTCAGAAAACAAACATCCCTATAATCTGGTTAAGGAACAGAAACAAATGTGTGGGTAAGCAGAGCGAGTGTGAGGCTGTGATATACAAAGGCCTTGCCACCCCAGAGGAGCATTATGCTTGGCATGCCAAATAGTTGATGATGTTCTGCACGCTGCATCTTTTGATGGTATATGCTCGACAGTGTCCTAAGGGTGGTGTTTGCTTAGTAATCCAGTCACACAGAGCAGCAATACAGTTATCACCAGCGTTTCTGCCTTTGAAACATGAAGGGCTTTGTTGTAGTCTGAACTGGTTTTGAGAATGTTAATTTAAAAACACTGCTTTGAAAAAGTGGTTCCCTTTCATCATTCTGAAAAAGAAAATGTTTCCCAGTTTCCAGTTTTTCCAGACCCAGTCTTAATATATGGCACAGGAATTTTCCATGTATGGGAGTCTGAGGCATATGGTATCCCTTTCTGGTCGCCCTGTAATTCCGAAATGTTGTTTATTCCTGTGTTACTTTGTTAGTTGAGCTGTGTTTTGCACAATCCTACAGGATATCATTAGCTAAGTAGGATTTGTGGAACTTGGTTCCTGCACAGAGCTGTGGTTATTTACTTGTGAAACTGTAGATTTAGTAATAATTGACAAACAGGGGTAATGATAGTATCCAAATCTGACCTTGTAGTTCCCAAAAAAGCACAGCAAGTTGATTTGGCAGTTGTTTCATGGGACAGTTAATGACTTCAGGTGTCTTTTGATGGTGCCCTTTAAACTTGGCTTGTTTCATAAAGGAATGTAGCTGGATTCTCACAATGCTTTCCTTTTCTTCTCCCCCTCACAGACGTTCCATCTTCAGAGCAGGCTGAATTGTTCCTAAAGAAACTTCAGCAGTGTTGTGTCATTTTTGACTTCATGGACACACTTTCAGATCTTAAAATGAAAGAATACAAGCGTTCAACTCTTAACGAACTTGTGGATTACATTACAATAAGCAGAGGCTGTTTGACAGAACAGACTTACCCTGAAGTAGTTAGAATGGTAAGTTGTCCTTTTTTTACTGTTAACATTTAAAATGCACATAGAGCTATCTAGTTACAATTGTATGCCCAGTATAACTAGAGTTGAGAAAGTTTAAATGGGAATGTTTGGTCTGAGTATTAATATAGGGATAGGTTTCACAAAGTAGGGAAGATGTTTTTTTGTTTGAAAGAGCTGTATGTTCAAAATCATTTCTATGTTTTGAAAATTCACAATGCCAATTAGGAATAAGTTGCATCACGATCGGTGCTAGAAAGGTGGTAATGAGCTTTGAAAAACCTTACTAGAACTTAAATTCTTAATTTTGTTTATATCCAGACCTTTGCATGTTGGGCTTCTTTGTTATTGTTCAGAACAACTTTGTGATCATAGTTACATTTCTAGCTAGCTTAATTAGCAACTGTTGAAATATTTAAAAGTTGCTGTCACATAGAATATTAATGCTTGGGTAAAATACTTTTCACACGAAAGGTGAAGAGAGTTTCTTCATATGTTGAGAAGATTTGAGTCCTCTAAAGATTGCTTACATTGCACCTAGTATTGCATTGCTATTATTTTGATAATCATTGTCATGAATTTCAGTGGAACTACTTGGTCTAGCATTTTGTCAAATGACTAATGTTAATTGCATGCTGTAAAGGTACATTAAGCTACCACAGAGAGCATTTTATTTCTCCTGCAGCTGAATATGTGTATGGGTTGGGTCAACTTTTATATTGGTATGTACAACCTGAAAACATTCTGTGGCTGCACCTTTTAAAATTCTAAACAGCCTATTCTTCTATATAATGCTGCATGTGGACAGTTCACTAGATTTTACCTGAAATTAATGTTGTTAAATTTTGTATATGCACCTTAAGATTTGTAAGTGGTGGTCATTCAGATATGAAAATATGATTTAGACAGGGAAGTAATGTGTGTGTTACTTGCTGTCGAGTTCGGTGTAGTGGTTAGGAGCACAGACTCTAATCTGGGAGAACCAGGTTTGATTCCTCACGCCTCCATGTGCAGCTGCTGGTGTGACATTGGGTCAGTTACAAGTTGTTTCAGAGCTCTTATCTCGTGAGCAGTTCTTGAAAAAGCTCTCTCAGCCCCACCTACCTCACAGGGTGTCTGTTGTAGGGAGGGGAAGGGAAAGGAGATTGTAAACCGCTCTGAGACGCCTTTGGGTAGTAAAGGGTGGGGTATAAATCCAATCTCCTCCTCCTCCTTCTCCTCCTCCTTCTGGTGACCCTATGAATTAATGACTTTCAAAATGTTCTCTTGTTAACAGCCTTTCTCAAGTCTTGCAAACTGAACACTGTGGCTTCCTTTATTGAGTCCATTCATCTCAAAAATATTTTTTAAAGAAGTAATATAGCACAGGATTCTCCCCCCACATCCCAATTTAAAAACATGGTTCTAACATTGACACTCCATGGTGGTCCACTTTTACAGAATCCTCCCTCTGAATATGCACTGACTCACAGCCTGACCCTTTTGAAAGGCATCATAAAGCTGTTTTTTCTTGGGCAGTGCTTTTGGTGATGAAGGTAAAGCACGCAGGAAGGGTATTTTCCCAACACTTGTAGAACAACCATTCTCTGGTGGTGAGAAAGGAGGCTCTGGAGTACCTACAGTCTCAGCTGTAGATGTTACGGAGCTTGGCATACAAGCAGCGATAGTGACCAGCAATACTGCGAGTGCTGGAGGCAAAATTAAGACTAACCTCGGCTTAGACCAGAGACCAGATAACCTGAAGAGGTGCTCCATTGCTGGTCCGAAGTCTGCTGAAGGTTGAGGTTCTGAATTCAGGTGTGTGTTCTAGTCCCTACCTTCTTGGAGAAAATCAAATCTTAGTTAGAGGGGCACAGTTCTGTTTCTGAGGCACATGCTCTGGTGATACCAGTATGACTCATGTCTTTGGGTTTGTGAAGATCTGGGCATTGTGGTGAAAGTGGAATCCCCAAAGCTGAGTGAATTTCTGAGAAGGAGTAGAAGATGCTGCTGCATGGAATTCAATGCCACAGGAGTTGGCAGCGGCTACAAGCATGGACAGCTTCAAGAGGGAATTAGATAAACGTATGGAGCAGAGGTACATCAGTGGCTATTAGCCACAAAGTATAGATAGGGGCTCTGTATTCTTGGTGCTTGTGGGGGGCAACAGTGGGAGAGCTTCTAGTGTCCTGGCCCCACTGATGGACCTCCTGATGGTACCTGGTATTTTGGCCACTGTGTGACAAAGTGTTTGGACTGGATGGGCCATTGGCCTGATCCATCATTGGCTTCTCTTATGTTCTTAAGGAAATGTCAATAGCAGAAGGAAAAGGAAACATAGTCCCTTAGGGTTCTTCATGTTCATTTGTGGAACTATCTGCAAGAGGAATTGCCTGAGTGCCTGGCTTATGAGATAATCCTGAGACAAAGTCTTCCGTTTTCTAAGGGGGGTTGGTGTCCTAGCATGATTTTTCTCATACAGGGTGTCACATCGATTAGATCGAAGCTCCCACAAAGTGAAGAGCAAAAGTCCAGTATCACCTTAAAGACTAACAAAATTTGTGGCAGGGTGTGAGCTTTTGTGAATCATTGCTCACTTCTTCAGAAGAACCGAGCAGTAACTCATGAAAGCTCATACCCTGCCACAAGTTTTCTTAGTCTTTAAGGTGCTACTGGACTCTTGCTGTTCTCCCTCTGAGGCGGAGGACATCTTGGGTTGGATGATTCCCACCATCCACTCAGGCAGGCAGGAATAACTTTCTTCTTCTTGTCTCTGCCGTGGGAGTCACCTGCCCTCATCAGGGAGAGCAGTTAGAGAGTAGGCTGTCCTACTTCTGCTTTCCATTTCTCTTCTTATTTCACTTATCTCATTAAACTCTTCTCTTAATTTTTCCCTTGCCTTTACTGGATCTTACTTTCTACTGGCTCTCCTTTCCTTTCTCGGCTCTGTGGCTCAGGGAAAGAAGAGAACGAAGACAGAGCTCCTTAAAGGAACATCAACCCATTCTTTTTTTTTTTACAGTTTATTTTCATTTTCCATAAAACAAATACTTCCACATACATTTTGAATATCAAAATTACAGCAAATCTTCCACTTAAGATTTTTGTAACCTCCTGTCCCCGCCCGCTGCCCCTTCCCTCGCGAAGATGCGCTGGAGCTGTGGCCGCTCCCTCAGCCGGTCCTGTGCTCACCTGCCACTGCACCCCCCTCCCAGCCTGCTGCGTTGGCGGTGGGCAGATACAGGCTGCCATTTGGCCGGCATCTTTCTAGAGCTCGTTGTATTGAGTCTACAACAGGCTTTGCCACTAGTAGTATGAATAAATAAATGAATCCAGTTATTAGGATTGTTTTTAACTTTATTAGTGTCATACTGTTCAAGGCCATTGGGTTGAATGAATAGTTTCATTTCACTATGTGTGAAAGAATATTGCCTTTTTGATGTATTATTTTAGGAACTGTTGTCATTCCTCTAACTGGTTGGTATTTGGGGGTAGGGAGGAAACAAGTAATGTCACTGGGATAGGTTGGTGAATTATTTTTTTTTACTGCGCTCTGAAACCTTGCTGTTCTGAAGTGGTAATATGCTCTGGAAAAATCTGCATTGCTGTTGCAGCCAGCCAGCTAGCAGAGAGAGCTGACTTTTAAAAAGTTTTCCCTTCAGGTCTAATCTGTCCTCTCTGCTACTAGGGGACCTCTATCTTTCTAAACTGAGCAGCTCCTGCTTTGCTATGACACCAGTGGCAGATTTGCCCTTGGAAAATGCATTCACCCTTCCCTTTTAATGCTCAGATTCATTGTCAGAATTTTTTTTGTTTGAAAAATTCCATCAAAGACTAGTCAGGATCTAAAGCAGTGGGGGTTTTAATCTCTTGGGAAAACTGGAGCTTCTTTCTTACCCTATCGTGGCTACTCATACTGGGGTCGTTTGCATTCTTCATTCTCTGCTTCCGTTCCAGAGGCACCCAGAATGTATAATCAGAACACATCAAACATACTTTCATGTAGCATTCTGCACAGTTTCTCACATGGCTCAAACCCCTTAATTGTCTCTGTTGCCCTTTTCAGCATTTTTTCAGGCTCAGCAATATTTTGTTTTTGAGGTATGGTGAACAGAAACCGTACACAGTATTCCAGAGGAGGCCACACAATAGATCTGAGCAAATTCCTCACATGAATTTACATGTGTTACCCTCAGAAGTCGGTGTTATTGTTTGTCTCTTCCCCCCCCCCCCCCCCGTGCCATTGGCAGCTCACAATCAAAACATTTTAATGAGTGTAAAATAAATGGAAATGGTATAAAGCAGGCAGGTGTGACCACACCTTAGAGTCAGGAAATACATAAATAAATGTTTATTTTTTTATTAATGGGATGGTATTTATAGTTCACCTTTCTCAAGAAGACGCAAGGCAAATCACAATGAAAATATGTAAAACCAGTCAGTAACAGCCTCTATAAAAGGTATTAAAAACATCACCCCAATTTACAAAAAAGGTCCTTCTAAAAAGTTTCATTTTACCAAGGCTGTGGGAGGACAGGAGCGTAAGGGTTTTCCTGATTTCCTATGTTAAGTTGTTCCACCAGGTAGGAGCCACAGCTGAAAGGCCCTGATCCACGCCCTGTGGAACCTTTCTCAGTTCCACAGGGTGTGCAAAATGGAGATGTTCCACCAGGCCTACGGTCAAGGGCAGCAACGGTTCCTGACCATGGCCTCTATCTGCCTTATTAATTTCTCTATAGGGAATCTACCCCATGGGGGAGCGAAGTGATTTGTATGCCATTGATTGTGTACTGTTTGGTGTAGTGGTTAAGTGTGCGGACTCTAATCTGGGAGGACCGGGTTTGATTCCCCACTTCTCCACTTGCACCTGGCTGGATGACCTTGGGCAAGCTGTAGTTCTGATAAGAGCTGTTCTCCCTCTGAGGTGGAGGCCATCTTGTGGGTGATTCCCAACCATCTCTTAGGGAGGCAGGAACTTCAAACTGTTTCCTGTTTCCTGTGGTGGGAGTCACCCTCAGCTCAGT